GTTTTTTGGACGTCGCTTTTTTATCACGTCCTTTTTTCCATATGTGAGTTTTCCAAGCTGGATCTTGTGCATCATATGAAGGTTTTAAATGATACAAGGCCATTTCCTGATGGAATACCGGCGTAATAGAGCCAGATAGAGGTGGTACTATCCACAGCCAATCAGCTGGACACCCTTTTCTTAATCTCATTTCATTTTCGTAGTGTTTCATAAATGATTCTGACGCAGTATGATGATCAACTATCGTAACATTCTTTATCTATTTACATTAAAAACAAAAAACAATGAAATATTTAAGATAATCAGTCTTACAAAACAATGGCAATATTTATAAACATAATTATAATGAGAGTAATAACGATAATTGGGGAGACGTGACGGAATTTACCTGAAAACTGTAGATAACTGCCACATTAGCCTCAATCATTGCTTTATCTTTCCACAGTGTTATTGGTGTCCTTGTATCCAATCCCATGTGGACTGCTATTGTCTAAAAGAATTTCAAAATTATGTGTAAGCATTAAAAATAATTTTTGATCAATTCCAAACACATCAAATGGATTAAAGTTATAAATATAACGACAAATACTTCAAGAAGATTATAACGCGTTGTATCGCAGAGATCACGTGCTCCAATCTCCGTGCTCATATACCAGCCGTTAAATGGTGCAGCTGTGAATTCTAAACCACCACAATCAAAAACCATCGATGAAACAGCAGGCAAAGCATACCATTTTAAGTGTAACTCTTCAAACCACTCATATCTAGTTTAAAATTGAAACAAAAAACCTTTTTATTGTAATTACCATTAAATTGCTAATCAATTAATAGTAATTATTATTATCTACGTTGGATGTTTAATTGGGATTTCCAAAACAAGCTCAGATGGAATATCAAAGTAATCTGGATCATGGCCGTTCGCCGAAAGTACCAATGGAAGAATGTCAAACCGTGTGCGAACTCCTGAACGTGGACCACGCCACCCTAATTTAAAGCAAAGCTGAAAAAAAAAAATTTTCATTTATTAATTTTATAAATTGAAAATTTTAATAAAATTGTAAAAAAAAAAAGTAATAATAATAGTTAAACTTTACATCCGTGAATTCAGCATTAGCTGGATCGCCCAGAATAGTTCCGTCTTTGTTTTTGTACCCTGCGTAACTTATTAACTGGGAATTCCAAACCCTATAGTCATGCTTTCCATCAGTACGTTGAGGAAAAACGGTAATTGCAGATCTGTAAAATAAAAAATAAAAAGAATTAATGAATCATTGAATTGTGAATGAATACATAAGTTTTTTTTAAACATGACTTTTCAATTAAACCTTATATTTCCTTTGTTAGTTCCGTATTTAATATGATTGCAAATAGCTTCGAACATTCCGCTAGTTGTTGTAACATATCTACAATCAAATACTTGAAGTTTTGACCACTGAATACGACCAATACATCGTGCAGCGTTTCTCCAAGCTAATTTAGCACCAAAAACAAGCTCTGTTTCACTTAATTGATAAGTTCCAGTTGACAGTACTTCTCTTTGAATACTTTCCCATCGTGAACGATGAGCTTCACTGTTAGATCTGTTTAAAAATTTTGTTGTTTTTGTAAAATAAATATCATACCAACTTTTTTTTTTTTTATAAAATTTACCTTCGTATGGATGCAAAATATTGTTCGAGAAAGTCTTTAGCATGAATTAATATTTCTTCTTTCTTCCTTGCCTCAGTTCCATGAAACGGAAGACTCATTACACTTCCTAAACATACTTGTCCCGAGCATAATGTTTTCTAAAATAAAAAAATTTTATTGTTAATTAAGAAAATAATGCAAGCTAGAGCAATTATAATAATTCACACGTCTAGGATAATAAAAAATAAAATAATAAAATAAATGATTCTTTATCATTCAGTAAAATATATTAACAAAATTTTCGAAATACTTCAAATAACAATTTGAAAAAATTTTCACATAGATTTAAAAATAAAAAAAATCATAAATTCAGATGAATAATAATTGAAATATACCTCTATTCCTTTAGGATGAAGTAAATCAAATGCTTCTGTTTTGTGCGTAAGATTCCTAAGCTTAGTAGCTTTTTTCTGAGCTCCAGTTTCCTGTTGGTCCTTCATTGCTGCTAATTTATTTATATTTTTTTTCAACTACTGTAAATACTAGAATAAAAGTGCACAATTTAGTGAATAGCTTGGAATAGGTCAATGTACTCAGATGAGAATCATCGTAAATGAACATCAGTTCATCACTGCGCGCTGGCGTATGTCCCCTGGAGCTCTTTATACGCTGTGGTTGTCTTCTTTGACAAGGGAATACCCATTATATCTGGGCCTGCGCATCCGAATCTCACTTGAACGATTTATAAAAAAAAGCATATAAGTAATAACGGGAATTCCGAAAGTAAACAGTTATTAAAAGTAGAATACACATGCGCGGTTATTTTAAATCGCATGCGTGAATAAATTTATATTACCACGGATCAGGTGATATAAAATTTATGAAAAAGAGTATATTAGAGAGAGAATATGATCCCGGGCGAAAATCTCACATGCGCCGCATCATCGCCATTGATTTAAGAGATAAATTTAAAAATGTGCTGAAATTATTTATCAAATATGAATTATCGTTTGTCTCACGATGGGATAGCGCAAAAAAGTACTCTACGCCTACCTAGATTACCAAAGAACCTTTCACAAGTAGAGACATTAAATTATGGAATTCGTTACTTTTTTTTAATTATAAATAAATTTTTTAATGTTAATTAAAGTCATCCACTGGTCTGTGTATCGATTTCTCTTCACGATTAACATCACTCGGAATAGATTGTTTTTAAATTAAGACAAATTAAATTTAATAATCAATTTTTCAAAGTTTAACTATAATTATTAGTTCTCCTGAATGGCGTCGAAATCGAACAAGTAGACTGCATCAAAGACCTTGGTGTCTTAATTGACAACAAGCTTATGTTCACCAAACATGTAGACAAAATCATACTCCAGGCCCTCAAAATCCTAGGCCTTGTCACAAGAACATGTAGAGATTTCAACTACCCGCATACTACGGTTAACCTATACCTTGCTCTAGTTCTGCCAATTTTGGAATACTGCTCGGTCATCTGGTCACCCTACACTGATATCTTAACCAAGCAGCTTGAGAGAATTCAAGACATAAGCTATGTAAATATCTCTCGAATACATACTGGTCGCGAGCTAATGCCTCCACTTCAGATGATCTTCGCAAGCACTTCAAATTAAACAATTTGATTAATCGTCGTCAGGTCGCCGACATGGCTTTTTTTTACAAAGTGGTCAATGGAATCATTGACGCCCCGGACATCTGCAGCAGCTTCGAATTTGCGCCTGCCAACATAATGTTTTGGCGCAAAAGGTTACTGAAAACTACTAATAACCCGAGAAAAAATGTGGTGAATGGACCTCATGACAGAATAGTAAACCTAGTGAACAAATTAAATGGCGAAGTGGAATTTTACGGTGGTACTTTCAGTGCTTTTATGTCAAACATTAAAAGACAGTTGCTTATGTACACATAAACTACACAAAGTTTTCTTTTTCTCGTCCTTTGCTTCGATTTAAATCATAATTTAATTTACTTTAATTTATGTTAATTAATTTTGAATAATTTCTTTATGTATATTGCCGATAGGCGTATGTTAATAAATAAATAAATAAATAAATAAATAAATAAATAAATAAATAAATAAATAAATAAATAAATAAATAAATAAATAAATAAATAAATAAATAAATAAATAAATAAATAAATAAATAAATAAATAAATAAATAAATAAATAAATAAATAAATAAATAAATAAATAAATAAATAAATAAATAAATAAATAAATAAATAAATAAATAAATAAATAAATAAATAAATAAATAAATAAATAAATAAGTCTTCAAAAAACTATGTGGTGAACGGATCTCATGACAGAATAGTAAACCTAATGAACAAATTAAATGGCGAAGTGGAATTTTACGGTGGTACTTTCAGTGCTTTTATGTCAAACATTAAAAAACAGTTACTTATGTACATATAAACTACACAAAGTTTTCTTTTTCTCGTCTTTTGCTTCGATTTAAATCATAATTTAATTTACTTTAATTTATGTTAATTAATTTTGAATAATTTCTTTATGTGTATTGCCGATAGGCGTATGTTGATTAATAAATAAATAAATAAATAAATTATAAAAATAAGAGATTCCCTGCCAATTTTCAAGTCATTCCAGTTCTTCGTTTTTACCAAAAGAAAAAATTTTAGTTAATATTTTGAAGATATATCTCTTAGTAGTATATCGACCAATTTCGATCCCATTTACAAAATTTGACGTAATTTTTCAAAAAATGAGAAGAACTCTGAAATTTACGTCTAGTCACAACTTTTTTTTTTTTTTTTTTTTTAGTTTTAATTTAATACAAAAATTGTGTTTTCGAATTTGGATTTTCGCTACAACGTCAAGATGATGGCGCACCTTGGCGGAGGGTTTCAAGCTCAGCCGTATATTATTTTTCTTGAATAAAAAATTCAAGTAATGAAAGTACCAACACTAGCATTAGTATAAATAATTGTCAATGATATTTTGTTTTAGATTAATTACTTTAACTCAGAACTTAATGAGTTACTTATATAATAAAATATTTGAATTCAGTTAACTACCGCTCATTTTAATTTTTGAATCCGCGAATGAAATTAACTCTATGATGACTTTTAATTGGCTAGAATAAAAAACTTAAAAGTTTTAGAAAAATGAAAACAAAGTATGGCAACATTGTATTTATTATTATGAAAATTCACAACCAATATCAGTCTCATCAATCTAATACTTTCAGGATTCAGCACCCCTTTGTTACAAAACAATGTCAATGAATTTCTTACATCATTATTTTGATTAAAAATTTAACAAATTGGATCATTTATATTTAAAAACAAGGAATAAAATCTAATAACTCGAATTAAATTTTAAACAATGGATCAAAAATCAAACAAACGTAAAAATTCAATCGACATAATTCAAGAAGGTCCAACAAATAAAGTATTACGTCGAACATCATCTCTAGAATCATCATCATCTAATTTGGGAAAATCAAATAACCAATTTTTAGACAGAATAACAGCTATTTGGAAAACAACTTCATCGGGTGCTAAAAATTCACTAACCTATGAGGTAAAATATCATCGTTGATAATATTTCACTGTCTAGACAAATATTTACCATTGTCAAACGGTTTCCGTTTTCTCAGGGTCAAGACATAAAAACTAAAATAAAAGAACATGAAGCAAAATACGAACATGCTGCTAAAACTCTTCAATCATGTCAAAGGGAATTGGAATCTTTAGAAAACAACGTTTCAGAATTTAGGATCAGTTTTGAAAAAATAATAGCTCAAAATCAGAATTTAAAAGAGAAGTAATTTAATTATAACCTCGATTAGATTTAATAAAGTGATAAATTATCTATTGATTAATGCATTAATTGTATAAAATTACTTTTTATTTACTATTTGTTTTTCAATTTTAGAAAAAATAAATACTTAAAAATGAAAATTTTTAATAATATATTACTCTAAAAAATGAAGGAAACAAAAAAATGTTTGCAAATTTTGATTACTGTGTTTTGATAAAAATCGTACAATGATTTCGCACCAAAATACAATTTATAGGAAAACTTGATAATTTTTCTGGTTGTTTAATTCCCTGGATTAATGCAATTATATTTTTTTGATTTAGACATGCGGATGCTTTAAAATTGTCGGAATCATTTACCAAGCATGTAAACTACATTAATAATACAATGAGTAGATGTAAAGATCATGCTAAAGTTTTAGATAAAATGTACAAGGATGTAATAATAAAATTACGAGAAGATAATGATCTTTTATCAAAAAAAATTGATGAATTGAATCGATTGATCGCGAGTAAAAGTATGACATTTTTATCAATATGATTTTCAACATCATTTGTTATTTTTATAATTAATTTTTGAACTTTTTTTTTTTGTATAAACAGAAGAAGAGCCTAAAGTACACTTAGAACAAATAAAATTAGAACTGGTGGGATTAAAAATGAAAGATGAAACAATTCATGATAATATTTTACAACAAGAAGAAAAAATAAGAAAAATTATCAGTCAATTAAAAATAAATGATGAGATAAATGATCATAAGAAATCTTATGAAAATGAATTTAAAAGTTCAATTAAACAGCTGGAGGAAAGTTTAGTTGAAGAAGAGAAAAAGTCGTTGGAACAAATGAATTTAATTGAAGAGTCTAGAATTAAGGAGGTAAATAAATTTACAAACCATTTTTTTTTTTTTTAATATAATATTTAATTATTTTTCTTTTATGTTTAGATAAAAGATTGTGATCAAAAGAAGTTATCTTTACTTTATGAAGAGTGTAATGAAGCTGAAACAGTTATGAACAATATCCAGGAACAAAAAAGCGAGATACTTAAGAAATATCAACAAAAAAAGAAGCTTGCTGATTATTCAGAAAAAAAAAGTAAACAACTATTGTAAGTAATTTTATTTTAAGTATGAAACAATAGTTCACTCATGTTTGATTACTCAATTTTATATTAATTGGTTATTTTTACTATTCATTTAGATCACAGGTAGTACATGTAAAAACTGAATTGAATAAAGTTACTTTGGCTTTACAAGATTCTAATGCCGAAAAAACAAGCCTCGAAAAAATAATAGATGAAGTATATAATAATTGCTTGATCAAATTAAATGAATTTGAATTAATAACTCGGGAAAAAAGTAAATTTGCAAGTGAGTTAAAAATATTAAATAATAAATTTAAAAACGAGGAGGAAGAAACAAAACAGCTTTTAGATGAATTGGAAAATAAAGAAAGTCAGCTTAAAGAAGCAATACAATCAAGTGACGATGTTGACAAACAAGTTCGAGATTATCAAGAAAATAAAGAATCCAAAGTAGCGGAATTGAAGAAAGAGTTAGAATCTATAACAAAAAGTGTAAAGAGTATATTAAACGAGAATAAAGAAATAAAAACAGATAATAGAAAACTTGAGAGAGAACACAATGAGGAATCAAAAATACAAGCTAATAAGTATGATGAGTGTTTGAATAACCTAAACAATTTTTCAAGCTCAAACGATAAAATTACAAAGGAATTAACCACATCTAAAAAAAATTTACGCTCTTTTGAGACTAAAACCCAAAAATTAAAAGAAGAATACGCAAAATGGCAAGAAACAGTTGAAAGTAAGTTGAAAAATGTAAAAAAAGATGTTGCCTCGAAAAATAAATTTGAAAAACAATTGAAGGAAGAATTATCTAAATTAAAAACTAACTTGGAAAAGTTTGAAAAAAAACGCCAACAATTGAAAACTGACAATATAAAGATTGTTGAACAGCATAAAATTCAATCAAATATTGAACAGCATAAAATTCAATCAAATATTGAACATAAAAATCAATCAAATATTGAACATAAAAATCAATCAAACATTGAACTTGAAACTCACACAAATAATAAATATAAAAATGTAACCGTTTTAAAATCACCGTCAACGTATCAATCCCAAAATCAGCCAGTTAAGGTATAGTTTATTAGTCATATAAAAGTATTTGTATTAGTTAATAGTAATAATTTTTATGGTACTTTATTATTTTAGGGCAGAAAAATTCGAGTACTTGAAAATAAGGTATAAAATTTAAGTTAAAAAATCATTTAAATTACTATAAATAATTCACTTTTTTTGTATTATTTATAGGTGGTAGATAAAGTGGTTAAATCAATATTGAAACCTCAAACCAGTTTACAAACACCTAAATCACCCGGACGAAAATTAAAATTCAGTATACCTGAATATGCAAATTCCAAAAAAAGTCCAGATTATTTTGATGTAAGTAACAAAGTATAATAAAATGAAATCATTACTCAATTAATTATAAGTTGAATAATTTTTCTAGGCTTCATCAATTGATGAAGAATATCATAAGTTGTCGCAATCGATGTTAAGTTCTCCAAAATTTCGATCATCACCTTCCCAAGGATCTTATTCAACTCCAGCATCGCCGGTAAGTAGCAAAAAGATTGGAAAAAATAAAAATTTTATCACTATAACACTTAATACTATAAATTTATTTTTAAAATTTAGGCGACACCGACCCGGAAAAAATTTTTTAAAAGTCGTGGCACTTCATAAGCTTTTTTTTTTTTTTTTTTTTTTTTTTTTTTGTAGAATATCTTTTTAATTACTTCCATAATAACTTATATTTTTTTCATGACTTTTAAATGTTATCAACAATTTATCTTAATTACTAATATAATTGATGTTTATTCAGCTAAGCTGTATCTTATAATACGAATTTTCGTACTGTATATTAATTTAAAACTCTCCTGTTAAAATACATCATATTATTATTATTATTATTATTATTATTTAATAATAATAATTATCAAAAACTTTGATTAACTAATAAAACTTAAAGCTCTATAATTTCCTAAAACAATTTTCTAATTTTTTTTATCTTATTACCATGTTAAAAAAAATAGTAAGTTCCTTTAATTATCAAGACTAGATGATAAATCCCACTTCATTGATCTTTCCACAGCCATTTTCCACTTTGAATACCGTAAATCTCGTTCTAAAATTTAAATTAGAAAATGTATGAGTTGTTCAAACATTATTAAAAATTTATCAAAATAATTTATTTACCATCTTCACTGATCTGTGGTGAGAATTTAGTCATTTGTGAAGCATCAACATCACCGACTTCAAATAAACCTGCACCTACTCCAGCCAAAATAGCAGCACCAAGTGCAGTTGATTCAACCATATTTGGTCTCACTTAAATAAATAAATTAATAAAAAATTAATAAAGAAATTTGATATAAAAAAATAGATAAATAATTTAAAGTACTCACCAACATTTATACCAGTAATATCAGCTTGCAATTGCATAAGTAAGTTATTAACAGTCATACCTCCATCGACTAGCAAAGTAGAAAGTTTTGTTCCTGAATCTTTTACCATAGCTTCAAGAATATCACGAGTTTGGAAACAAACAGCCTCTAATGCAGCTCGAATAATGTGATACTGCTGAGTGTCTTCCGTAATGCCGCAAATAACTCTATTAAAAGAATAAAAATAAAAAAAAAAAATATTTTATCATTAAAAAGAAAACCGTAGGCGTAAATATATATTCTAAATTAAGTAAATGAAATATTAATCCTACCCTCGAGCATCTTGTTGCCAGTGCGGAGCATAAAGTCCAGAAAAAGCAGGGACAAAATAAACATCTCCTGAAGTGCGAACTCGTTCAGCAAGATCTTGAGTTTGTGTTATACTATTTAAAAGTTGCATATTATCTCGCAGCCATGATAAAGCTGCACCTGCGACAGCAACAGAACCTTCAAGAGCATAGATAGCCGGTGCTTTGCCGAATTTATAAGCAACAGTTGTGATAAGTCCCTGAGTTGAATCAACTTTCTAATTAGAATAAAATATTGTGTGAATTAAATAATTTATTGCTTGATAGTTTTCGTTATCTATCATATACGCTTAAATCATTGTTACATACAACATTTCCTGTATTATACAGCAGAAAACATCCAGTTCCATAGGTAGCTTTAGCTTGGCCTGGTTTCAAACATAATTGTCCCAATAGAGCTCCTTGTTGATCACCTACACACTTTAAATAAATACATTTAATTATTTTAAGAATAATATGAATTATTTTTTTTTTTTTTTTTTTTTTAAGTTATTAATGATAATAACAACTTACTCCTGAGATTGGAATACCAGCTAGCGAACTAGGATTAGATACATGGCCATAAATTTCAGAGCTTGATTTTATTTCTGGTAAAATCGATTGAGGAATATTGAAAAAACGCAAAAGAAGAGGATCCCATTTAAGAGTTTCAATATTCATTAACATTGTTCGTGATGCATTTGAAACGTCTGTGATATGTAATTGTCCTTTGGTGAGATTCTAAAAATTTTTAATGAAAATCAAAAACTTTACTTTTAACAAATTATTAGAAGTAACTATTTGTACCTAAAAAAGTCCTGATAAATTCACGGTGCGTAAATATAAGGTTCTTATGTTTACGCACCGTAGATTGATTAAATTTCTCTTATCAACGAATGAAAGTATCCTAAAATATGTTCAATTTATTTTTTTAAAATAACTGGATTTTTTACTAACAGTAATATCTTGCGTAAGAGTATTCAATTTGGTATTAATTTTTTTTTTTTTTTTTTTTTTTTTTTTTTTTTAATTAACTTAAGGTCATAAAAAACCTAAAACAACTGATGAATGCAAAGTACTCAATAAAATAATTTTAATCTGATGATATAAAAAATGTTATACTTATTCTTTATGGTTTAATTGCGAAAGATAATAAATAATTATTAATTGTTTAAAGAATATTTCAGACTATTTGCATAGATCTACCTAGTTCGATCAAAAATCAGCGTTAAGAATTCAATAAAATCTCCTAAGCAAAAATGAATTAATCATACTGATAAGAAGTGTAATCATTTGTTTCGAAAAGAAATATTTCATAACTTACGTAAATAAGCCAAGTGTCAATGGTTCCGAATGCACAGGTGCCAGCTTCAACAGCTTGTTTGACCTTGGGAACATTATCAATAAGCCAACGAATTTTAAGAGCACTGAAATATGGTGACATAGGAAGTCCACACAGTGGCTTTAGATAATTTTTATTTCTAGTTTTATTGGGGATCGTTTCCAAAATGTCTTCCATAGTTGTTGTAGTCCTCATGTCCAACCAAACTATCAATAAATAAAATTTTAATTATAATTTCAAGTACATTCATTTGAAGCAACTGAAATCAATTCAAATTATCAGAAAATAACCAATGGCATTGTGAAGAGGTTCTCCAGTATTTTTATCCCAAACAACAGTCGTTTCTCGTTGATTAGTAATACCGATAGCTTTAATTTCCGAAGCTGCGATACCAATATCTTCTAAATTCTCAACTACTTTTGCGATGCAGTTCAAAACAGCTGAAAGAATCTCTTTTGGATCTTGTTCGACCCATCCTTCCTGAGGATATTTTTGTTTTATTTCTATTTGGTGGGATGTTATTACCTTCCTTTTCGTTACATCAAATATCTGTAAAAAAAATAAGTATTAATGTCTATTGCATTGCATCATACAAAAAAAAAATTAATTAATTAATTAATTAGATAATAATAAACTTACTAAAAATCTAGCGCTGCTGGTTCCTTCATCGATAGATCCAACATAACAAGGATTTCTTTTGGTTTCAGGCATTATATCAGAAATATTTCGATTTTAAAATTTAAAAAATAAAATTGTTTAAGTACTGTTGAAATTTTTTTAATCGATTTACTATCAATAATAGTAATTAATAATCCAATGAGAACTTTAATTTATCGTACAAGTCACTAAAAATTAAAAATAACTTAGATAGGAGGTATTGTTGACCAGTAAAAATTAAGTATGTTATTGAAAATAAGTACTTAAGTAAATTTGTAATAAATAATTATAGTTTGTAAACAATTATTAATAATAAAAAATATCTTTGGTAATTAATATAAATATTCAAAGAATGAATTATTTTAATGTTGAAAATTTTTCATTAAACTACAATAAACAAATTACATAAAAATACGAGCTGTCACAGATCAATTCGCGAGTTAGCGAGTGCCAGAGTTTATGTAAAAAAAATATGTGTAAACATATATACAGAGTAGGGACATTTTGGGAATAAACCTTGACAATGCTGTTAAAAAAAAAAAAAGTAATTTTCAGCTTTTTGATTTTAATTTTTCAAACAATTTAATAGTTACAAATTATCTACAAAAAATACTTTTTATTGCTAATTTTAGTTATAAATCAGAACGTTTCATTATTAGGATGTTATAAATGAAATAAAGTACAAAATTTTCAAAATAAGCGGGAGTTTATATTTCTAGAACTTGGAGTTTTTATTTTTCCAATAAATGGTTGGTATTTTATTTTAATCTCATCTCACGTGTGAAAGAGCTTGAATTTAGCCGACAAACGACAATCGAAAGTTTTAACAATCGATATCTCAATGAGATTTTATTTTCATTTTCGTGTTGTATAGCCCAAAATTAGCTATAGTAAATTTATTGAGTTCTTTTAATTCGCCCGTTGGAACGCGATAGGGCGTTCAACTCGCAGTAAATAGATTAAGGCGGGAGAGTAGATTTAAATTCGAATAAGTTGAATTAAATAACATATATAATAAATTTAAAATACTCGGATTATTTTAGTTTAATTTAGATTTGCCTTGCGCGCAAATCTATTATTTATTATTCAGTAAATTACAAAATAAAATTACCGACAATAATTCCGAAAAAGAAAATATTGGCGTGGCGTACTTAAGTCTTGCTTATTGATAAGTGTCTTCTTGTTTTTCGCTGTCCGACTCCCCTGGTTGAGATGTTCGTACCTTTGGAGTGGGAGAGGCCCAGAGGGTAGTGAGGGTAGTTGCGCGCGCCTCTACAGCTCTCATCTTCGGCTAGCATCCCTTCTCGAGTTGGCAAAATGGGACTATGTTGAAATGACGTCACGACAACCCTCGATGTTCCCAGGTCATTTGCAGCCCGCCTTGATGTCTGGTTTTTATGACCTAGCCCTAGGTACTCGAGTAATCCCTTTTTTTAGCGAACGTTTTGGAAAATAAGCTTCTTAAAAGATTATGACAATAAAAATGAATAAATAAAGATCTCTGGGTTTTCTCTAGTTTCGTAAAGAATATTCCAAAACGTTCGGTATCTTATTCTAAGTGACCATTACAATTACAAGCGTAAGTTTATTTTAACAAGGAAACTTTTTCTTAGCATGTCTAAACTAACTGGAAAGTACTAAAAGTTTTTATAAGTTTTCCTTTGGGAGTTTCCGGTAATCCGGAGGCACAATAGTGCCTCAAGCCAAGTACACGTTCAACAACATATGTGAACGTGTAGGCGTGAGGCTACTGTGCCTCTATTCCCGAGTCAGATGTCAACATAACCAACATTAGCATTAAATTTCTAAATTTCTATTCTCTAGCTGACATATCGATTGTTCAAATTTTCGATTCTCGTCTGTCAGTTGAGGTCACACTCACACATGTTTACTTACTTACTGTATGTCAATTAAAATTGTCAAAGAAAATGAATTTAAAAATAACTAATAACACCTGCAGAACTTGTCTGCTGTCAAATAAAAAAGTTGAAAATATTTTTTCAATATCTAATCATGATATCTACAGTGGATTAAGGCTTGAATTTAAACAAAAACTTGAAATACATTGTGGTATTGAGGTTAGTTATATATTGATTTATTCATTCAAATTGTTTATTTTATTAAAAAATTATGTTCGGTATAAAAAAATTTTTTTTCAATAATTTATTATTTACCTTTAGTTATTTTCTTTAATGATTCATAAGTAACTATTTAATTAAAAACTATTTATAATTTGCGATATTAATTCATTTACTGTTGATGTTTATATTTTAGATTGAAGAAAATGATGGATTACCAAACAAAATCTGTATTGACTGTATGGCAAAAATTAATAGTGCCCATGATTTATGGAAGCAATGTCAAGTTACGGACAATAAACTAAAAGAGTTTTACAACAGAACTTCTGAAAAAGTTGTCAACTGTGTTACTTTAAAGGTATTGTCTACTTATTTATTTTTAAAAATTAATTTAAAAATCTTTAATTAATATTAATGAAATTGATGATAAGCCAAGTCCTAATATTTTGATTATATTACTTTTAAATCCCTACAAAAGTAAATACTAGATTCGTAAATGGGTTGACTTGAAATAAACTTTTGCTATATCAATAAAACAAAGCAACTCTATTATCATGTCAGACATTTGTTACATATCTGTACAAGTATTTTCATAATTTCAAAAACAAAAAAATTTTTTTTGGATACTTTTTACATGCATCCATTGGAATGGATGACCTTGAAAAATTTTAAAAAAATTTACCTAATAAGAATAGTAATATGAAAATCAAAAAATTTGGCTGTATCATCATTCATTCATTAATTTTATCTGCATTAATTACATAATAGTATAAATTTAATATTATAAATAGTTGTTGTTTATATTTAGGATAAATTTAGTCAAACTGGAGACTTATTGGCAACAGAAATAATCGATCAAAATGAAGAAAAAAAATTATTATATCACACAAGAACGTTATCTTTGTTAAAAGAGTCAATCGCATTAAATAAATTAGAACGCAATAAAAATAACTCTGAATGTGGAGTTTATGATGAAAAAATAAATAATAGTGAAAGTAAAGTAAGGGATAAACAAAAGTCATATAATACAACCAATTTAAATACAAAAAAACTTATTATTAATGACCATTCATCTGAGTCTTTGAATAGTAGTTGTACTACAAAAAAACAATCACTTTCATCCATGTTAAATGATGATGTCTGTAAGAAAATAAAGTTACAAGGACAAGAAAAGCTGCCAAAAAATGCGAATGATATTATTTATTTTCCAATAAATGATGGTAATGAAAATAAAGATATAAATATTGATAATAATTCTGATCAATTTATGATAATAAAAACAACCAATAAAGCAATTACGCCATTAAGAGAATATATTAATTACATTATTGAAAATGATCATTGTTACACAAGTTTTGCCAGATCAAAAGTAAAGAAATCATCAAGAAAATCACAACCAATTGTTTTGAACGATAATGATTCAAGAAATATGCTTGAAGAATCAATCGAATCAACAAATATAAATGAAAATAAATGTTATGTATGTGGTAAAGCATATATTCGAAAATCTGCGCTCTATAAGCACATAAAGCATCATAAAAAATCATTCCGCGAAAAAGGATTTAAGTGTCAAATTTGTAAGAAAAAACTAGGAAGTAATACATCTCTTAAACTTCACAGTATAACTCATCAAGGAGAAAAACCATGTAAATGTAAATATTGTGGTCGGGGATTTTTAACGGAAAGTAAATTGGTTTATCATGAAAGATCTCATACACTCGAACGACCTTACGTTTGTGACCTTTGTGACGCAACATATCCTCAGATGCATTTATTGAAACTTCATATCACTAAACACACTGGAGAAAATAAATATTTGTGTGAAAAATGCGGTAAATCTTTTAGAATGTACAAATGTTTAAGAGAACACCAATTTACTCATACGAAAGAAAAACCATTCATTTGTAGTAATAACTGTGGGATGGCTTATAGTAATTCCGGTAGTTTATTCGCGCACAAAAAAAGATGTTTCACTAAGGCACAACCGTTGATTACTTAAAATTTAAGATTTCATTATTATAAAATTAATTCTGTTTGAACAATAGATTGATTTTATAAATTAACAAATTAATTTAATGTAAAAAATGTAATTTATAAAGGTAAAAATTACATTTAATTTTTTATAAACTGTAAATAATATATGAATTTGAACTATGTAATTATCTTTGTTAATCGTTGAATGAAACATTGAAAAATAAAAAAAGTATTTTATGTAATGAAAACAAAATATTTGTTACATTTTTTACTCTATTTATTACAGCATTTAATTATTTTAACATTTTATCCAATTACTTACATAGTAATATCACATTTATACACATGTAATGATTTAAAGCGATAAAAAATAATCACCAAAGATAGTTTTCTAATTATCAGCATTATTAATATCTTTTTGAGCTTCAGCAATTGCCTAAAAACAAAGTTGTTAATTTAAAAAAAATCTAATCCATTAGAAGTAAATATATGTAAAATAATATACCTCTAGCTCTTCTAATTCACTCTTTTGAACTTCTATTTCATGCAATAACTGTGATTGTTCGTCCAAACTTTTCATGAGCAGCTTACTGTAATAAAATAAGAGCTGCAATTTAAATGCTAGCTCATCCATTTGATTTGTTGGAGCAGGGTCTTGTATTATTGACATTTTACAGGTTTATTATTTTTGTTACTTTAAAAATTTGAACGATATTTACTCTATTTTTTTTATCTTTTAATAATTAAGCAATCTATAACCCTTTCAAACTGTTTGTCATCATCGTACCTCTGTAGTTTACGATAACGGTTATTAAAAGCAGCAACTGAACTGTTGAATAACTCTTATAATAAGTATAATGTGACAATTATTTCAATTATATGTATTTTCACGGTTTTATGTAAACCAATTCCATAAAATTGTTTTTATAAGATTCGAATAACTTAACTATATGTGTAAGTATATTGCTCATAGTTAATTAGGAATCGATAGTACGCATACGCTACAATTGACATTATCTTTATATTATTTACGTTACTTGATGAAATTTTACCATCTGCTTTGTTTTGCCTTACTTTTTTGGTAACTTTGAACTCGAGCAAACATCATTCTGGCTGTCATTAAGACAAGTGAGTGCCCCAGTGGATCCGCAGTTTAATGACTACACGGCTGAAGGGTGAAGTGAAATAAAAGATTTGCAGCACTTATTTTTATAACTAAAGCCAACATCGACCATAGCGACGCATTGAACGAGATTCAAATAGCACAATTTCACTTTATTTTCGGTAATAAAAAATTATTAATAATATAAAAATGATAAAAAATTGATGTTTCTTGCTAAATTTTTCTTTACAGTTATCAAAGATAAAAAAAAAAAACGCATTATACTGCGGATAGTGAATTACAGAGAACAAGAGAAGGTCAAATACAGTAAAATTCAAGGTTCTACCATCAAATTCAAATATTTTATTTAAAATGATTATAAATTATTTGGGATATTTTGTATACATATACGCATACTAGGGCATGGTGGTAATTTATTTATTTATTTTATGCATTTCTAATGTTATTAAATGAAATCAAGGATCCGTGCTCTCTTGAAAAAAATCAGTGGAATTTCATTGATTCCAACCAGTGAATGACAATTTCACTGATTCACCAGTGAAATTCCACTGATTTATTTTAAGAGAGTAGTTTTGGCAATAAAATATCAAATACAGACATTTTATCATTTTTTTTTCATATGTAGTTGAAAATATTTTACAATTAGTTTTAATGCTTTTAATGTTAATTTTAAAACAAAAATTTTATATCGACAAAACATCATGAATAAAATATTTACACATAAGCCCAGCGATTTCGAGCGGATTTTTTAGTTTAAAAATGAAAAATTTTAAACAAAATTGTCGAAAATGTCAATTTTTGGTTTTGTTTTTTAATTTGTAAAAAATTTTTTTAATCGAAAAATTTATATTTTCGATTTTCTTTTTTAATTATTGTATTTTTGATACATCTGAAGAAAAAAAATGTTTTTCTTCAAAAAAATTTTAAATCCCATTCTTATCAGTTTAAACATTTTGTGGACCTTACTTTCAATTAATTATCACATTTTTTCGCTATAACTGTTGTTGAAGAACAAATTAGGCATTCACTTATAGATAAAATTTTCCTAAAAGAATAATTTTGAAGTTGTATTTTATTTATTTATTTTACATATATGTCTTTTTACAAATATATTTGTGAGTTTAATATAAATATAGGTATATATGAAAGATTTCAGTTTATAAATACCGAATGAAATTGACAGTATTGAACAAAAATGGTCATAGCTAAGCAAGATTATAGTTATCACTAGGAGTACTGCATAAAATTTATAATAAATCTTAATTTTATGTATCTTACTTTGATAACATTTCGACCAACTTCAAAATGACATTATAGTGGTCAGCTGTCATTTTTTAAATTTTTTTTAAAAATCAATTACAATAAATAAAATTCTTTTTAAAAAATTTACACTCATGTTTTTTTTTTTTTTTAATTTTCATGAAAATGCATTTGTGAAATTTTTTAATAATAATTCAATTATTACAAAATTATAAAAAAATTTCTGTCAGCTGATCTGTCATTTTTTTAATTTTTTTAACAAATCAATTACAATAAAAAAAATTCTTTTTAAAATTTCCACTCATGTTTTTTTTTTTAATTTTCATTTGTAAAATTTTTTAATAATAATAATAACTTAATTTTTAAAAAATTTCTGTCAGCTGACTTAGCTGACAACTGTCAATTTTTTAATTTTTTTTAACAATTCAATTACAATAAAAAAAATTCTTTTTAAAATTTTTACTCATATTTTTTTAAAATTTTTATTTGTGAAATTCTTTAATTATAATTTAACTATTATAAAATTATAAAACAAATTTATAATGTCAGCTGACTTCAGTGTTGTATTAAAAATGATACTGAAGTTAATAGCTGTCAATTTTAAAAATTTTTATAACAATTCAATTACAATTTAAAAATTCTTCTTAAAATTTTCACAAATTTTTTTTTTAAATTTTAATTTGTAGATTTTTTTTTTTTTTAATAATAATTTAATAATTGCTATAAAATTAATTTGAATTACAATGATATCACGTTTCCATTTAGCAATATCATCACTATCGACAAGACAAGGACCGCAACAACTACTACTGCTACCACTAGTACTACTTGCACATTATCTGACATTATCAAAGTCATTGTCATTGATTATCATCATTATTACTATCCTTTCTTACAACTAAATACGCACTTGAAGACACTGTAGGTAAATATAAATAAAAAATATTAAAATAACCTACTTTAAATAGTAAGTCAACTTTTAACCTCAAGATTCTTTGTTTGAACCATTATCTAAGTTTCGACGTTTGTTGCAGGTTTAATATACATATATATATTTTCTTTTTTAGCTATTTTTATGATTGAGAAATACTTTTATCGGCTATTACTATAGTAATTATGAAATGATGAATTTTATTGATTGTATTTTTTGGTAAGACATTGAAGAATAGTATCAACAGTTTATTTATTAATAATAAAAAAAATAAAATATTAAAAATGCTGGACTCTGATAAGGTAATTCTTGTTTTACGTAATTTATCAATAAAGATTACAAGTCTTATTATAATTAAATAAATGTATTATTTTTTAGGATAAATTTATGAAGCAACTTAAGAAGAAAATAGAATGTTGGAGAGAAATTATTTTACCATTAAATTCTATTCTTTTATGGGAAAAACCATGGTATCCTGGTGTTATTTTTGGTACTACATCTTTAATATTCTTGTAAGTTTATCTTTTTTTTGTTAAATAAAAAAAATTACTTTGTTTTTAATGATACTGAAATCTGTCAATTTTAAAAATTTTTTTAACTAAATTATTATTAATAAATTTGTTCCAAAAAATTATTTTTAAAAAATTGCATTGTTAATTTTTTTAAATTTCTACTTGTCAATTTTTTTTGCCATAGTTTGTTAAAAAAATTATAAAATATCTGCTAAATTGAGTTTAATAAATTATATTGTAAAAAAATTTTAATAAAATAAATTTAACATCTTGAAATTGAAAAAAATTTTTTTTTTATCAATAATTTGTCATAAAAATTTAAAAAAAAAATTGGCAGATGTCTGCTGACTTTAATATCATTTTTTTTATGAAAATAAAGTTAGCCGACATTTAAAAATGTTTATGATTTTTTTTATTAAAAAATTATTTCAAACAAAAAAAATTTTTTTCATTTGTTTAAAAACTTGAAAACTACAAGTGCAATTTTAAAAAAATATTTTTTAGTTATAATTTAATAAATAAAGCAAAATAAAAAAATCAAAAATGTCGGCTAACTTTAGTACTATTTTTTTTTTTAACTAATATTTATTAAAAATTTTTTTAGCATGATTTGGATAATGGAACCAGCATTCTTGACAATAATATCAATGACTTTATTGATTCTGGCTTTGGCTGACTATTTAGTACCAATTGCAGTTGCAACTTTTATTTCATCTAGTGCTTGGAACGGTCAAAAAGAGCGTAAGCTTGATGAAATTTGTCAAAGAGTCAGCAAATTTATACTTCAAGCTCAAAGTTTTTGGAAATTTATTCTCAATGCTCGAAGCAACCGCCCTAATCTCGTAAGAAATTTTTTTAACAACCAAAAAAATAATTTATAAGAATATAATAATTTATTTTTTTATTTTTCAGTACTACGGATCAATCACTGTGTGTCTCAGTCTTTTGGCATGGATAGGAAACGTAGTAAATAATTTACTGCTAATTTATTTAGCATGTAAGATTATATTTTTATTATAATAATATTATTATTATTATTATTATTATTATTATTATATATTATATTTTGTTTGAAATTAATAATTTTAAAAATTTATTTTAACAGCGGTGATTGTTATGCTATTACCAGGACTTCGACACCAAGGACGAGCGCACTCAACTTTTAAATTACTTTACAACCAAGTGTTTAATCGCAACGTAAAACAAGCATAATTTTTATAAATTTTTTTTTTATTTTAATGCTTATGCCGTATGTATGCAAATATTTTATCACGTAAAACCGCGTAATATTAATTAAGTACTTAAGCTTAATACTATTACATATTTTTTATTCGATAAATATTTAAAATCATTAAGAATTTATAAAATAAGAAGTTAATCTTTTTCATCTTTTTATCTCGCAGTATTTACTTACTTATAAGGTATTGATAAAATTTTAAATATTTAAATATATATTTTAGAGTAAATTTTTTAATCAAAAAACAAACGTAATTATGAAAAGCAATCAAGAATTACTTTAAGTAATAAACTACCACAGACTGAACAATCCTTGTTTAGAAAAATATTTAATAATTATTTATCATGTCTATATTTTGATCTCTTAATAATACTATTTAATTTATAAAAATATTTACTGTTAAACCAGTGTTTAAAAAAATAGATATATTATACCTTAAAATCTTCAGTGTAATCACAACCAAGTACTTAATAACTGATAGTCATAATTTATATGTATGTTGATTTATATAATCATAATTATAATAAATTTCAATGATTCATCAAAGTAATTAATTTATTTAGTTTTTTTGGAACATGGTACCAGTAGTTTTTCGATGATAAGCACCTAAATTGTTTAACATAAAAATATCTTCACCATCAGAGCTGACTTCTGAATCTATCATGTATTCTATTTGTGTTTTTTTCAATATCTCTTCACTAAATAATTCTGTTTCAGATTTATTGCTCATATTTAAAGATTCGTTCTCGCTTAATTCCCATACTGGCTCCAATCGTCTTAAAAAAAAATTAAAAAAAAAAAAATAAATATTTATATTTAGAGAAATAAAATAAAAATTGTAAAATATCTACGATTTATGTTTGATTGATGAACGTTCAACTGGTACGTCGTTAGTTTTATGAGTCGACCCTCTATTATCAAACTTGTCATCCCTTAAATTTCTGTAATCATGCCTTCCAATTTTAGACAAAGAGACTGATATTTTTTCTATACTCAATTGCTCTTTTATTTCTTTTAATTCTGACGCTAGCTGAGTTATTTCTGAACTGCGAAAAAATTTTTGATTAATTTTTAGTAGATTATTCCTTAATAAAATTGATTAATTTATAAATAAATTAATTATTCATTAATTAAATTTATTTAACACAGTGATTGTACTCTCTGGCATGAATTATCCTTCTATTAATATCCTGCTGTTCTTTAAGACTGTTGATAGTATTGATAAGTTTTTCAACATCAGCGCGAGTGGTAAAAAGTGAGCTCAAATAATCTTTGGTACTTTCTAAATTGTAAAAATTATCAGCAAAAGTATGGTATGAATTTTTTGACAGTGTGTTTGAGTCTGATAAACTTTCCAGTTTTTTTGTACCATGCACATCTTGATTCAATGTATAAGATGATTTTCTGCAGGGTCTTTTGGCAGGCTAAAATATAAATTTTATTTTGGTTAAAAGGATAATATTTTTTATTAATTATTATTATTTTATTAACTTGTCCATAGAGAAGTTGTCTTTTGATATTAAATTCACGTCTCTGATCTTCAATATCGCGTTTTAATATCATTTCTTTCAGATCTTCATTCTCTTTTTTTAATTTCTGAATAGCGTTTGAAGTTTTTTCATAAATTATTCTTCTATTATCAAAGCTCTATTTAAAAAAATGGAAATTAAATTAATTTCTAAACTCTAAAAAATTATAAATGCAAGTTTAGAAAAAAAAATTTTTTATACTTAATATTAATCTATAAAAATCTAAATTATACTTTCAAATTACTTGTTCTCGATTTTTAATAAAAAAATAATCAATGTATTTTTCTTTTTTCCTTATTTCATTTTCTAGTCGGCGAATTTTGACGTTTAATAAATGATTTTCATCCAGTGCAATTGTTAATTGTCTTCTTAATTTAACAACTTCGTTTTGTAAATCAACCTTTTAAAAATAATTAATTAATTATTAATAATAAATAATAAATAATAAAATTTATAAAATATAAATCAATAAATAAATAAAAATATAGGTTACTTGATTGTGTCCAAATTTTACTCTGGGCATATTTATTAAAACTTTGGTGTAAAATACTCCTATTAAATTTAATAATCTTCATAATTTTATTTATAAATTATCAAAATACCAATATATTCATAAAATAAATTCATGTAAATACACAAAATAATTTAGCGTCCACAAAAATTGGATAATTTTAGAAATATTTAGGGTTAACTTTTAAATTTCATTAAAATTTGACATTTCGCGCCCTGTATATCTATACTATATCTACAATCGATACACATGAATTTCACGTTTTCGTTTTCATCTTTATATGAGTAACTTAACCTAAAAAAAAAATTATTTACAAATGAAGGTTATTCATTTGTTTTTTAGTCTTGAAAATATAAATTTATAATTGTTATTTATTGAAAAATTAAAAATATTATTATTAACCATTGTTGTAATTTTCAATAATGTCAGAAGAAAAAAAAGAAGATAAAGTTTACACACCACCTCCGAGGAAAACAATTCCTGATGATCAGGGTGAACTTTGGGGACATGATCTGTATCCTGAAAGGCGAAAATTAAAGCAGAAAAGTGTTGTCAATACATTAATGATGAAGGAAGGCAAAGAAGACCTTGATAGATATCACTGTGAAAAACTTGTGTATAAATGTGTGAAGAAACGTGAGTATAAATTATATTTTTTTATTGATAATTTTATTTTTATACACAACCAATCTATCATTATTTTTTAGATCCTCTTGTCCAATTAATGACTCGAGCTTTGAAAGCTTCTGGCTGGTAAGTATTAAAATTAATTGTATTTTTAATAATAATAAAATTGAGCGATATCTGATAGTTTATTAAAATTGAATTATGAAAATTAATTCAGCAGATATTTAATAATTTTTAGAACTTCTGTTAGCAAATAAATTGTGGCAAAAAAATAAGAAAAAAAATTGACATGTAGAAATTTTCAAAAATTAAAAATGCAATTTTTTAAAAATAATTTATTAGAATTAATTTAATTAATAATTGAATAAAATTAAAAATTGGTCAAGTGACAGCTAACTTTGATGTAATAAATTAATTAAGAAAATATTTGATAATTTTTAGAACTTTTGTTAATAAATAAATTATGGCAATAAAAAAAATAAGAAAAGAAAATTGACCTCTAGAAATTTAAAAAAATAAAAAATGCTATTCTTACAAAATAATTTTTTATGATTTATTGAATTGTTAAATAAAATAAAAAATTAGTCAGGTGACAGCTAACTTTAATGTCATAATTAAATTAATTTATTTTCTTTAAAGTTGATTCATTAAAAAATTACTAAAAAACACTTAACATGTAGAAAATTTTTTAAATTATCCGTGGAATTTTTTAAAAATATTTTTTTAGTTCTCATTTAATTAATAATAATAATAAAAAATTTTTGAACGTCAGCTAATTTATGAAAATTAAATTAAATTAAAAATAATTAAATATCAATACTCTATTTTATAATTACAGTCCAATTGATTTACGAAGGCATTTATCCTGTGAAGAATGTGATCCCTCGGTAACTGGAGGTTACGATCCGGAATTGAATCAAATAGTAATTTGTCAGAATAATTCTAAAATTGAAGGGATCATTGGTAGTGTTTTAACTCACGAGATGATTCATATGTTTGATTACTGTCGTAATAACTTGGACTTTAAGAATCTTGACCATTTAGCTTGCACGGAAATACGTGCAGCTAATTTAACTTACTGCAGTTTTTTAAGTGCTTTTATTGATGGTGATGCATCGCCTTTTAATATGAAGGAGAAACATCAAGAGTGTGTCAAAAGACGAGCTATGCTGTCTGTACTGGCTGCCAGAGGTGTTACGCCGCAAGAAGCTACCGCTGCAGTTGAAAGAGTTTTTACTAGATGTTATAATGACATGGAGCCTATTGGTAGGAGAATAAAACGTAATACTGGTGATATGGACAAAGCTTTGTATGAAGCAACACTATTTGGTTATGATTAACTTTTTAAGTTAATTTATTTACTGTAGTGTAAAAATGTTTTAAAGAACTTATTTGATTTGTAAACAATAAAATTAAATAAAATAATTGATTTTAAATATTTATTTGTCATTTTCTTATTGAAAAAAAATTATTTAAAAAGAATTTTATTTTACTTATAATTTTAATGGATTAAAAAAGTCAAAAGTTTGCTAATTTTAGTATCATTTTTTTTTTTTTTTTTTTTTTGTAAAAGAATTGATTTAAAATTTTCCCGGGAATTTTTTGCGCAGTGAAAAATAGAAGACAGCGCCTCTAGTGGCGGTAACGACAAACACCCGAATACATTTAAATAGTAAAGACGTTACAGACATCATCTCGGCAAGTCAAAGCAAAATAATTTATTTATTGAATTATATTAAATAAATTATTTGATAATTTAAATAAGATGATCATTGAAGAGATACGTAAAAAACTATTATCGACTAACCACTTTAAAAAGGTAGATGAAGATTAATTTAGCATGATATTTAAGTTAACAGTCATTCGGCCATTAAAAAAATTTTTTTTTTTAATTAAATTTGTTCCAAAAAATTATTTAAAGAAAATTGCATTTTTAATTTATAAAAATTAATTTAGCAGATATTTATTAAACTTTAATAATTTTTGTAACAAATAAATTATAACAAAAAAATTGACATGTAAAAATTTAATAAAATTAAAAATGAAATTTTATTAATTTAATTTTATTGTAAATTAAAAATTAAAGAATTATCAAGTGATTGCTAACTTTAATTTCATTTTTAATTTATACATGTCATTTTTTATTGCCATAATTTATTTGTAACAAAAATTCTTAAAGTTATCAAATATCTGTCTAATTAATTTACGAAAATTAAGTTAGCCGACATCTTAAAATTTTTAAAATTTTTTTTTATTGAAAAAATTATTTAAAAAAAATTTCATTTGTAAAAAACTTTAAAAACTCCAAGTGTAATTTTTCAAAAATATCTTTTTGTTCCAATTAAATAAATGAAAAAAAAATAAAAAAATTAAAAACTTCGGTTAACTTTAGTATTGAAATTAATTTTCATTTTATTTTAACATCCCAAAATTTTATTATCAGGCTTCAGGAGTTGAAGAGCTTCAAAGACAACTTTCTAATGCAAAAACACGAAAGTTATTTATTATAGAAACAATATCAGCTGATATTGCTGTTGTTTTAGCATCAATTTTAGTATTGAGAAACGATGATCTTCAACGGTATTACCAATTAAATCTCATTAATAAATTATTAAATATCAAAATAAATTAATTTTATTTATTTAGTTCTATATTAATATGCTGGGAAATATTATCCGAAGACGAATATTTTTACAAAAACAACGTAGCGACAACTGTTATTATGAAAATCTTAGAAACTGGAATACTTATTGCTGTAAATCAAACAAAAGAGCAGCCTATTTTACTAACTATGGCTTATACTCTTGCTTTATTATTTTGTCGGTAATTAATCTATATATTTTATTACATTATTAGTTGATGAAGAAAAAAATTTTATCATCATGGTTAATTTCTTAACAGGGCTAGAATTTTCAAAGTTTCTTTAAAAATAACTAAATTTATTGACCAACTATTACTCTTCATTAATTATTTGAATGTTAAAAGCTCAAGCTCTGACCAACTTAAGATTACTGTAGTTGGAAATCTTTTTTCTTCAATCATTTTTTTTATTGACTCTGCTACAATTTGTCTCGACAAATTTAAGATTATTCAAGAACTATATGAAGATATTTTCACGGCGATTTCAAAAATTAATAAAGTAGTAACGCAAAATAAAAATAAACAGTCATTTGAACGTATATTTACCACTACATTAGATATTTGTTCCACTGGAGTTGAGTAAGTATTTAAAAAAATAAATAAACATAAAAATTTTATGTTTTTATAATTTTTTTTTTAGTTTTATCAATGAAGATGAACGACCACTAGATGAACGAGTTCATAGTGACTCTGACGACTCGTCAACAAGTGACTTTAATAAAAGATTAGAAATTTCTAAAAAAATTTTAAATCTTTCTTGTGAAAAAATCCTCGAAATTGTTATTCCTAATTTTAAAGTAAAAAATTTTAATTTATTCAATTATTAAAAAACTATCCCTAATTAAAAAAAAAAGATTCAACTCATGTAAAATGCATATTTATATATTTGTCAAGCTGAATCTTTTTTAATCATTTCTTTGAGCCATTTCGAATTTTTTCAAATCTCTTTTCAGTGATGGATCTCTTAAAATTGGAATTTTGAGTTTCGCTTTTAACAGGAGTTGTGTTTGGGCATTTCCTGAGATATTTTGAGATATTTATTTAAGGGATTTATTTATTTATCAAAATTTTAGACCCTGAAACCTTAGCTCCTTAAGGGCCTTACATAAAGTGAATACATAGTAATAATAAAAGTAGTTAAACAGTAATGGATATGAAAATAATAAGATAGTAAAAATAAGAAAAGTAACATTGTCTCAAAGCAAAGTCTATCCAAATTACTATCTAAAGACTTCAGTTCATAAAACGAAAGAAAGAAAAAATATGAATTTGAACATTTTGTAATTTAAATATTTTAGTAATTACAGTTATGTATCTAGCAGTATGATGTGTAGCACTAAATGGAGCAATGCATAAATTATATAAATTACAAAAGTCATTCAAATTTATTTGATTATCATAGAATTTTTTAACAGGAATTTTGTTTAGGTATTTTTGCTGAAATTTCAAAATTTCAAAATTTGGCCAAACAAAACTCCTGTTAAAAGCGGAACTCAAAATTCCAATTTTAAGAGGTCTATCGCTGAAGTTTTATTTTGACACACCCTAATGTAATATACTATTTTTAATCAGGGATATCTGTAGAGTTAAATATTTAAGACATGTTTTTTTTTTTTTTTTTTTTACAGAAATTTGATGAGTCCAACCCTGAATTTCAAGAGAATTTAAAAAATTTAATTAAATTCTTAAATGGATTATATGAACAAGAGCACAATATAAATTACATTAAAAAATTTTCATTTGAATTATCTATTCAAGGTTATTTGAAATATTTTTTTCAAATAATACAAAGTCCGAATATGGTTGATATAAAACAATCAATCTGCAGATGCCTTGCTCGTATTTTAACGAACCTTGCTCATTATAATTTGTCGATACAATGGCAAGGTGACTTAAGAAGTTTCTGTAAATTTATATACGATGGACTGATGTCTCATGTAGACTCTAGAAAACTTACTAGTGATTCAACAAGCTCCGATGCATCACTTTTTTGCTATTACTTTCACTACCATGCAACTGAGGAGTGAGTTTAATTTTTTTATTTTAACAAGTAGCTTATTTTTAATTTTAAATATTAATATTTTTTTTTAGTTCACAAGTTATTGAAATTATCGGGCAGATGTTAACAAAAAAAATTTTAGATTTTTCTCTTGAAAATTTACCGCCATCGTCTATTCTACAAATTACTTGGTTCTTTATTTCTGTACATATTTATTTTCTTATTTTATTGAATTTATATTTACGACGGATTTTTTTTAATCAAATTTTTTTCTTTAGGAATGGATGTTGAAGAGTACCTCAGTAGACTCAGATAAATGCTTGCCAGATGCCTTAACTCATCTTATTGAAATCCTTTTAAAAGTAGGAATAGAAAAATGCTACATGTGTCATCCGGCTTTAGTTGTCACCGTTCTTAAAAATCCAATATTTCCCCGTGAAATTCGGCATCAAGTTGTTAAATTATGGTTAAAAACTGACGGTGACGTATATACGTTAGTCGATGCGGATCACAGAGATGTTGTTGTTGATTCTCTCATCGTAAGAATTTTTCCTTATTCAACGTCAATTTTAAAAATATTTTTTTTCTGAATAAAAATAAGCTGATCAAAGTTTTTAGATTTAAAAAATGCCTCCTAATAATTATCAAAGGAAAAATATTTAAATCATATTAATATAAAATCTATTAAATGTATAAAATAAAAGTTTGATTTTTAAATTATTTTATAGCATGCGTTAAACACTGGATGCAAAAATGTAGTGAGAAGAGCTTTTAAGGATTTGATTGAAATTACAAAAAATACTAATCCAATGAATTTTGATTTTATGCCAAATATTTGGGAACAAATTTTTGATAGTTTAATCACTTACAAATCCGAAAATGGTATTAAAAATTTTTATTATGCAAAAATTAAAAAATTTTTTTTTTTTTCATAATTATTTTTTAATTTTTTAATAAACAAATAAATAAATAAATTTGATTTTTAGAACACAACTTTGAAGGATTTCTTAAGCTCGCAGAAAAATTGATGACAAATGATTTATCAATTATTTTTGCAATGCGATCTATAGTAAAATTTACAACATTTTTTAGTTGTAATAACAAAGTTAATTCGAATATAAAAATTTTGTTAATCACTTTAACAAATAAAATGTTTTCAATTCTTGCAAATGCTGATGAAAGTATAGGTAAAGTGTTTAATAGTTTCTCCAAAATTTTTCTCTTCTATTATAATTTATTTTATATTATTTCAGTTATTTCATCCACAATTTTGGAAAAAAATATTTTAAACGAGATTCGTGATCAAGCATTTAAAAGTGCAAATAATGATTTAGCTGCCGCGTGCTTGAAATGTTTAGCGAATATTATTATAATTCTAATTCCAGTTTCTAAAAAGGTTGATTTCAGATTTCAATCAAGATACATAAAAAAATTTTTGGTTTTAATTTTTAAACTAAAATAAAATTTTTCCAGTTATCACAACGTTTGATTATAACTTCGAGCGAGCTTATTGATACTTTGTCAAAAGACTTGCAAGTTTCTACGAAGGTCTTGGGACTTTTAAACAATCTTTGTCCCAATTACGAAAATTACAGCGACTGTGTTATTATTGATTTCCGCGAGAATAACGTCAAAAGCGATATATATGAAATTTATGACTTGTTAATTGAAATTCACAATAAGGTAATTTATTTAAAAAAAAATTTTTTTTTATATCTACATTTAATAACTAAAATTTTTGTAAATTTACCCAGGTAATGTCAATTGAATGGAAGACAACTTTTGATTGCCTGACGAATTTTTTGATATTTGTAAAGAAAAATTACCCTGTTGCTATTCGAGATTGCTGCGAAAATATAAGCATTCATTTAACAATTATCAAGACGATCGATAGCAGGTATGTTGGAACAGAATTTATTAAATTTGTAAATTTATGGCTGGAACAAGGCATCAAATCTCATTGTTCGTTCATCGACGGTACTTTTGAATTAAACCGTATGAAAATAATTTCCCAAGATAATTTTTGCTTTGAAAGTACTTTTGAAAAAGCGTTAAAGCACTTAAAAATTTACATTAAAAAACTCGATGCGTCTCACTCAATTTCAACCACTCTTCTCGAAACTCTTAACTTAAAATTAAATATTTTATAAAAATAAAAATACATACAAGTTAATTTATTAATTAATAATTTCTGGTATAAATAAGAAGAAATTAATTATATTTTTCAAAAGAAATTTAATATTTTTATTTGATAAATAATAGTGATATTAACAGTAAGAATTACAATATTAATAATTATTAACTAGTTATAGTAAATGCATTAGCTATGAAAAAGTGATTGTACAAATTTTAATGATAGTAATCGCTTTTTATTATTAAAAAAATTATATTTTATTTGAAGAATATTTGTAAAAAATTTTCTTTATGTTTTTTAAACTCATGGTTGAATATTAAATATTCGTTAATATTCTTGTGGATTAATGGATTATTCTTGAAACGGGATTAGTACGTTTTATCTCGCGTATATGCTGTGTGCCTCGCTGACGAGTATATGCTGAGGATTTAATAGAAGAAGAGAAATTACATATTATATTGTATCGTATATAATAAATTTTAATAAATTGAGATAGAGACGTGTGGACGTGTGACAATGAGCCTGTAACTAGCCGTAGTTACTATAAAAGAGTAATATATTTAAAACTATTTTTTTCTGAGCGTTATTACTATTATATATTAGATAATTGTCAATAGAAAAATTCGATATTTTAAACTTTTATCGAAGATAAGTGAAAATTCAAATATTTTGTGCGCACCGATAACAATAACAATAGTTTTAATATTATTTATTAATAACAATAGTATAAGTAATAAGTATAAGAAGAAAGTGCTGAGCTATATTAATTGGACCCTGATACTTGACTTAGTCTTCTTTACAGTAACAACCGATCCGCCGTTCTAATGGATCTTTGATTTTTAATGCGAGATTTTTTCTCGCTTCCCTCGGGCTATTTTTTTGGTCTTCCATTTCGTTGCATAAAGCACCCCTTGAAGGAGTTCAATCTTACATCTATTTCACCTTCTTCAAGCTAGAAAAAATTTTTTTTATGCGTCGCAATTAAAAAAGCAAGCCTTGATTCTGAAATTTTTAAAACTTAAATTTTTATTTATAAAATACCTGATCAAAAAGATAAAGTTCTCTGTAGCAAGAGGGTGACACACACTCTCGTATACATCGTATCTTAGCAACACTGCTCCTGGGCTGCGACAGTGTCTTGCAAGCACCACTTTCTTCGCAAGCTTGTTCAAACTCACGGAACATCAGTTCCTAGACAACAATATAAACATTGTAATATAGTTTAGCCCTGTTGAGTATACATACGTACCATTAATATTATGCTAATTTTATCATCGGTATCAAAACATAAATATATAAGAAGACTTTATATATAATATTATAGTTTTTAGTTTTAAAACTTTTTTTTTTATATTATACTGAGAAAAAAAATTTCTTTTGAAAAATGTGGAATTTTTTGATGAAAATTTACCAGATTTTTAATAATTTTAATAATTTTTGCAACAAGTTAAAGCAAAAAAATTAATATATAAATATTTTGAAAAATTAAAAATTCTATTTTTTAAAAACAATATGACATTAAAGTTAGCAGTCACTCCACAATTTTTAAATTTTATTTAACAAAAAAATTTGTTCCAATAAATTATTTCTAAAAAATTATATTTTTAATTTTTTTAAATTTCTACATGTTATTTTTTTTTACCATCATTTATTTCTTATAAAAATTCTTAAAATTATGCTAAATTAATGACATTAAAATTAATTTTTTTTAACAAACTTATTTATAAAAAAAATTACTAAAATTTACTGAATAAATTTTCATTAAAATTAATTTCTCACCAAAAAAATGTCGATATTTTTCAAAAGAAATTTTTTCTCAGTGCATTGTAATATGTAAATGATATTTGAACACTCGCGCCAACGATAAAATATAGCGAATTTGAATAGTTGGTATAAATTACAGTACTAAAAAAAAAAAAAACAAGGTAGAAAAATTTTTTAAACTTACATTTTTACTTGTCTCTTTGTACGGATATTCTGGAAATGTAAATGTCTTTGTTGTGTGCCCGGGATTGCCATTAAAAGTCAGCAAAAGAAGGAAAAGATTGAGCGCGTGTGCCACCCACGTCGCCATTTTGGACTATCAGGAAATCAATATTGCACCCTCTGTACTGCCTACAGGGTGCAACTTTATCATGGCAATTATTTAAAAAAAAAAATTTATTGAAAGAATACAAAATAATATAAATATTTCGCATCATAATTGCTCATAAATTTTTTAAATAATTTAATTACACATTAAAATTTGCAGCGATAAATATTTATATTTATATTTATATTATTGAATAATTATTAATTAGTATCGAGTATTGGTGATTAATCACATTTAGCTTTAATAAATGTTATATAATTAAATGATAGAGATTAAATATTTATTATTATGAGAATAATTTGTGCGTGTAAATCATTATGAATTTTGACTGGCCAGCAGTTGTTGCCGGTGTTGTTATTCTACAATCGCGAGCTTATATTTGGGTAATGCAAGTAGCACTAGAGCGGGTGAATATACACCCGCATTAGTCGAGTATCGCGTTTGACTAATACACGCAACTGCAGAAATGTGAATGTGAATTAGTAGCGTGCGTAGCCACAATTCGCGTACAACCGAGTTCCGTAGTTGTGAAAATTACGGGAACGCATCATAAACAGAGAGAACAGAGAAACTGTTGAAAGGAGAGAGAGTTAGGGTGAAATTCTCGGACGACAAATCGATACACGTCACCACCCTCGCAACATATATTCCTCTATCCAAGATATTTACATAAAACCAAGTGATGCGAATACAACAGGACATTTATCGCTGCCAGTTTTGATTCAAGAGACTTTACGCCCTACTCACCAATCGTCACAGGCATCACTCATCATAAACACTCCCAATATCTACAGTATTATTCTCATAATACATAAATACATAAATTTTCAATTTCATCATCATTTTTTTTATTATACTTTTATTTTTGCCATCACGAATTTTTCAATATAAATATAAATTATTTTTCAATTTTTAGAATATAACTTGTATTTTTTTTTCTCAAAAATACAAATTTTTAGGTCAGTTTAATGAAAAAAAAAAATTAGCTTAAAAAATTTAAAAACTAACATTAAAAAATTTTTTTTAATTATATTTTTGACAAAAAAATCTGTAGAAGTTAAAAAAAAAATTCTAAACATAATTTTTATGAGTTAATTGTAAAATTAAAAAATTACCAAAATTTTTTTCTAGTTTAAGGTTTAGATCATTTTTTTCTTGTTTCATATTTTTAAAAGACGCCATTTTTATTTTTTATGAGCTAAACTTTAGCGTATTTAAAATTAAAATTTATCTTTTGAACTTTTAATGATTGTAAGATAATTAAACCACTTTATTGATGAATTATTCATTATAAACTCATGTTTGTTTTAAAATAACAATTTAAAGATGAAATCTGAGATTAAAATTTTTTGCACGATAAGTATCTTTAATAAAAAATTTAATAGACTTAAAAAAAATTTTGAAAGTCGTAAAAAAAACATGAATTAATTTAATAAATATAAAAAAAGCAACCGGACCCATAACCTTCTTTTTTATTTAAAGTTTTTTTAGAAAAAAGTCCAAAATTAAATCTATAACGACGTAGACGAGGATTTTGCTAGTCTTATATAAAATCAAATGAAATTTTATATTTATTTTCATGGTGTATACAATATGTAGGAATTATATATAGATACTATCGTGTCTCCCTCGTATTTTGACGCCTTTTTTGTCCACCTATGCATTCACTTTTCCTTCTCATCCATCCTGAAGCCTTTTGACGATCATGAATGAATGAGGTTTAAGGATCTCGTTAAATTTTTGAAAGTGGCTTTTCATTCTCTCGTTCTTTTTACGTCGCATAACTTATACCCGCATAAGTTTTTTTCTCATGAACAAAGAACAATTTCTTTAGCAATATATCTATATATATTAGCTCTCCTTTTGTTCTGCGGAAACTCAATGCAGTTGCTCATAATATAAATTTGATCCTCTTCAATCTTCCTTTGTATTTATGTAAAAAACAATAACACAGATACAAAAATAATGATTCGTTATCTTTCATCAGTTTTTGCCGTCTGCCTTTTTATATATTTTTTTCTGCTCATCTTCCAAGCAAATTAGATTGCAATTAAACGAGAAAAGCTCTACAAAGCTTATTTCTTTTATGTTACAAAAATATTACATGCATATATTGCCGATAGCTATTATATGGCGTATTCGTTCGACGTCAATAGTTGGTTCATTTAACTGTTTTCTCACCATACCTGAAAATGTTCACAATATTTACAAATTTAATTTAATATCGCAATTACGGTAAATAATTATTTGTCCTCCCGGTCCATACAGCTGGGAGCAATATAATAATTATTACTAAATTGCAAATTGTAATTTCGATAATGTAAATTTAATTTAATATATTATCGTAATAAAATTATCAATTTTATTAATTTATTTAGATAAAAACAATTAAAAAAATTATTATTATGATTATTTAATTTAATTTAATGTAACATCATCATTATCATTTTAGAATATTAATTTTTTTTTATCTGAACATTAACCTTCTAGTTTTTGGATAAATACATCTGAATTTTGAATTAAAAAATTATAAAAAAATAATATTTTTTTTTCTTATTTTTACATTTTTTTGCGTATTAAAAATCGTGAATTAATTGATTAATAGACTTAAAAATTTAAATTAGGTCCAAGTCTTAAAAAATTTCATTTTTGCGATTTTTTTTACGAAATTATAAGGACATATTTTTTTTACATTTTCCAAATTTTTTTTTTCATTTTAATTTTCAGAAAATAAAATAAATTGAAAAAAATTCTAATCGATAAAAATTGGCTTTTAAAATATCCTTTAGCACAAATGAACATCCAATTATTCACCCCTATTGATGGATAAAAGGTATAAAGCTTAAAATAAAAAAATAAAAAATTTTATTTTTTAATAAAATTAATAAGCAATTTCTATTGTTAACATATTTGCAATTTAATATCAACAAAACGTTGTAAAATTTTTAATTTAAAAATGTAAAGTAAATGCATTATCATAATTATTATATTCCCCGACAGTTAATTAATTATTAATACCCAAACAACCGTGAAATGAAAATAAAGCAGATTATTGAATGTCGAATGATTTATACATGAAATAAATGAAGGATAAAAATGTATACGCATCAAATTATAATAGTACTTAATGAAGATTAAGCAAATTAATTTTTTTTAACGTATAAAAAAAATAATTTATGATATATCTATTATAATAATTAGAGAGTTTAATTAATTGAGTATAATCTGAAATGTTTTTGATGATCATTGACTAAACTTATAGTAATGTATATGTCAATGAATAAAACATCCCGCGTGCTCCAATTATCAGATGAAAATTAATGGAAAATGGCTGTGTGTCTGTGTGTGAAACCAATTCTAACGAAGCCAATTGCAGGGACAATTTGTAAACTAATTAGACAAGTTTTGCTGGGACTTTGGAATAGAACTAAAGTAGGAATGTTGAATTGCAGTGTAGAAATATATCCTTGCATATCCGCAATTAAATCTACTGTGGCTAAGAGTGCTCTTTGATCAACACAGGGCACTCTCGTTTGACAAATAATTAACTGGCCAGATTTTAGATTTTTTTCTCATTATATAAAAGGATCAAAAGCTTGTATAGATGTTTTTAATTAGAGAGATCGTAAGCTAAGCGGGAGTAATTGGGTGAAAAATTGTGAAAGTAAATAGCGAATTGTTGAAAGGATGACAGACGACAAAATGATTCTACTTGACGTCTGTGCGACTAGATACGCGATCAAGGGTGGACAGTTGATCGCGCAAACAAGATTGACCAATAATAGGTCTCGTTTACAAGCCGACAAACGTGTATATATCCGATCCACGGTCATTGTGTATCCTCTGGACAAGAGTTTCAGAGAGGGATAAAGTGAGAGGCCAAATATGCACCGGAGGGGAAAGGTCGCGTGTGCTGAGTGTAAATTTGTACGATCGATCCATATACAGTTTGCATTGCCATTCTATATTCGGCACGGGAGCACGGCCATTCGGATTCACATTCACAACTATACCCCCAACGATCTATCTACTCTAGTCTCTTCAATTCGCTTTGGCACGCATGGAATCCCTTAATTACGAAGATTGCCACGGCACACTTGCACACTTCGACTCCAACGGCTATTCTCCAAATTCGATATAAATTTCACAACGACATCCTCGATACTAATTACTTTTTCTACAATAGTTAGGATTTGTGTCAAATTTATTAATAAAAAAAAAAAAAATTAATAATCGATTAATTCTCAGGATAATTATATTGTACAGAGGAAAAATATGAAAATTTTTGTGACAAGAAATTAATTTTAATAAAAATTAATTCTGCAGATATTTATTAAATTTTAATAGTATTTTTAATAAATAGCAAACTTGTGACTGCCGTAACGTGTGAACTATAAATAAATAAAATTTTGCTTTATTAAATAATGACTTTTGTTAAATTGCACTGTACTTTCTTAACTATTGATGTTTTTAAAGATATAAGCTCATCCTGATGTTATACTCATCAAGAGCTTTCATTTGAGTACCCACATGCATTTTTTGATATATTTTTCATATATATATATATATATATATATATAATATATATAAATATATGAAAAATTGATGTGGGTACTCAAGTGAAAGGTCTTGATGAGTGTAATGTCAGGATGAGTTTATATCTTTAAAAATGTCAATAGTTCACAAGATATTTGTTAAATTGCACT